TTTTTTTTTTTTTTTTTTTTTTTTTTTTTTTTTTTTTTTTTTTTTTTTGAGTGAGTAAAATCATAATCACTGTTTCTTTGATGCGTTTATGCTTAAAATGCATTTTTTGTCATCAAAAAAGAAAAGAAAAGAAAAACATATTCACTGTTTTTTTATGTATTTATGTTTAAAATGGAGTTCTTTTTTATTAAAAAAAAACGAAAAAAGAAAACAGGAAACAGAAACATCAACATTTTAGCAAAGCGTACATATGCAACGATAGAGAGTAGTTTTTCATGTATATATATGTTTACCGCATACTTCTTCTTTATCAATAAACAGGAAAATCAACATTTCCGCAAAACGTGCAGATGCACTAGTGGAAAGCTGACTTATAGCCCGGAAGAACTTCCCCACCAATAGAATGAGCGTGGAAAATTTAAGTTAGCACAGATTTATCTATTAGCATTATGCAAAGCACCAATCTGTGGGTCCGACGATTTTTACCCACTAACGGCAACCAAGGTTATGACTGGATTGTCGAATATAATGAACACTGAACACTAATATTTTTATTTGGAGTATAAAACCCATAAAATATGTTTTGTACACTTTTCATTTAAAATATTAAGATTATTTTAATTACATTAGTTATATTTCAATAAGGCATAGTATATGTCTAATTTTAAGGTTCAGTATTAAATGTAAAATTGGTCGCCAATTTTCTTTAAAATATCATATATTTTTAAAGATTTTCCATTCAAATATTTCTTCTGATATTAAAATAACTGTATACTGTAGTCGATTACAGTGTGTTTAGATTACGTTTTAAGTAAAGACTGAACGCCCCTATAATCTTTTCCATTTGGTAGAATGAAATTCAATGCGTATTCTTTAAATTCGTCTGATATAATCAGAAATGTCCATTGTCTTTTTGGAAATCTATTTCTAGACGGAAATGAAATTAAAAAAAAACAAGTTGATGATTTGAGGGACATAAAGATGGTAATTGTAAACAGGGAAGACAGCAGTGAAGTTTATTTACGGCAAATTGGACGAAGGCCGTCTGACTGGGATGTGTCTTAGAATGTTCAAGACGACCAACGAATTTGTAAGTATTTATGTTTATTTTGATATTATTAGTTTCAACACAAAACAATGTAAACGGAAATAGTTTGGTTTTGCAAAGCAATTTATTGGTGCATTTCAAAGAACAAGTAAAATTTATGACAATCTTTGATGTATTGATGTTCACATTACTAGAACATTATTGGCATTTCATATACATTTTCTAGAACTTTTTCGTAAGAAAAGGAGACGACATTCTTGCCTTTGTAACATTATATACCATGTAAATTTGGCAGTTCAGTCCAAAAAATACAACAGTGGCAAAGAAAACGTGCCTTTGTCATCGCCACTATTACGGAATATAGCATTTAGTCTCAAAGTGTAGCTAAAGGAAGAATTTGATTTCGGTTATTCCGGACATGATATAAACTTGGGCGCTTGCTCTTCTTTTTTCGTTGCTTTGATTTGTCTGAAAGGTAATAAAATATGGGGTATTTTTGAGAAAGGCTGTACGTTCAGTGTTCATGGTTCAATGGCGGTTCAACAGTGCTAAAATAAGTAAAAATAAATGAATAGAAATCTCTTTTAATCACAAATACGTAACAATAAAGAGTTCTTTAAAAACGCGGTTTACAATTGCATAATACCCCTATTAATAAACATGAAGTAAGATATACATAATGAATTAAAATCACTTGTTACACATTATAAAATTTGAGGCATATACTGATTAGCAATATAAATGAATGTAAAATATGTGAATACTTGATACACGGAAAAAGAAACCACACTATCTTTATATGTATTTTTGTTCTTTCTATTACAGTAATAAAAATAAAACACACGTAGTATTCTTAAGTATTATTAATTAAAGAAGTGATTATGGTGATTTCGGCTGTGACAATCAACTTTATATAACACACAAGCGCGCACATACAGGCACTGCGTATACACTGCGTTCACATGAACATGCGCATAGAAAACAGTTTCTCTTTGTTCTCACCTAGCCTATGACAGGAAAGGAAAACCTTCTGCAGCAATTGCAAGAGAGCTGGTTATTGGTGCCCCGAAAAATGGCAATCCTGCTACTCGGAAAAACGCATTGAGTTGTGCAAGTTCCCCCAAAAAAGATACGGCAAACAACTGAAAAGATGAGGCCTAAGATATCATTGATGTAATACATACAAGTTACATGTAGGGCGATGCATTCCGATTGCCTGGGATATCATAAACCTCAGTGTTTCCTAAATTTGTTTACGTCTTCGAAAGCAATACCACCAGAGACAATTGCTAAAGAACATCATGCACGTGTTATTTTATAATCATAATCTTACATATGGCAACTTGTTTTTCTTTAAATTCAATATATTATTTAACATAAATAGTTTTTAGGCGTATAGGAAAAGAGTTATTACTACAAATACTTACAACACCATATGCTGTTGGTACAACTGTTAGGAGCTATGAAAAAATGAAATGAACACATTTCAGTAAGGTGGACTTTCTATTATTTATTAACTCAATTCATTTATTTCCCCCTCTTAAGTTATATATATATATATATATATATATATATATATATATATATATATATATATATATATATATATATATATAATGTGCTTGTGTGTGTCTGTATGTGCGTGTGTTTGGGAAATATTTGGTATCGAGCGGCGGTTAAATGTTAAATTCATTTCAATGAATTAGCTATGTTTGCATGGAGTTGGAACACCGCAGGCGAGGAAAAATATCCTTTTACCAAAAGTATTAGTGCATACAGATGTGCATCTACATGTGGTATGGACAAATTTTACAGACCACCTAAAATTACGAACTAAATGTGATTTTACCTGTAACATTTAATTGCACACATTGGATACAGCGCTGATCCGATGGTTCTATATCAACAAGGCAACCACACACAGAAACAAAGGTATTTATGCTTTGAAGGGGACTTGCAATTCAAAGCCTATTTTGTAGACATGTCCAATGATTATTTGCTATATCGATCAACCCAACGATCTAAATATGTTACTTTTTATATGTACATGGTTTTCTACAAGCTAAAATAATGGTGAGAGAGAGAGAGAGGGAACCCTTTAGTCTATAGACAACCAACAATTAGGGCACAAAAAGCCCCGGAGAACAAATAGTGCTTATTGTACAATTTTACGACATGGCTAAAAAAACGCCAAAATACACGTCTGTATTTTGATGCAACATTGTACTATAGTTATGATTTTAAACGTGAAGCATGATGTAAACTACATTGAAAAATAAGTTTCATAGCCCGTGTAGAGGATCACCTACTTGTAAACTGTGCGTCTATCCCGACGACCACAAGACAGAGCAACGCAGCGAATAACAAAGTACGCACACGACCCATGACGCTGGCGGTGAGATGTGACAAAGAAGTACAAATCTCGCTTTTTCTTTTTCTACAGTTGATTCCTGGTGTTTTATACAGGAATGGAACAATGCATCTTATGTTTTTCTGAATTTGCCATTACAACGATACAATCACTTGTTCCCGTTTGTGCCAGTGGTAGGTAATAGAGTTGTGACAGACGGGTACTGTTACATAAGTATCGAGTTCCCTTAAACTAAACATGCCAAAAGGTGATTTGTTATAGGTAATCATTAGCGATGCTATTAAGTGGTTGGTTAATTCTTCTAAGTAGAAAACACGCTTGTTGCCGAACATACCCATATGATCAATTTTTTCCTAACAGATACTTATGAATCCTTATAAGTAAACCCGTGTCGCATCGTGCGGATTTAAATGCGACATTTATGCCAAAGGACAAAAAATAAGAAAAATAAATTAAGAAATTTACACAATGGACATTTAAAATATTTTCGAATAAGACTCTTCATTATGAACCAAGCACTATATTTAGGAAAGGTACACCTATCATTTTCACTGAAAATACTGTTAGCTATCTTACGTGACCAGAACAAATCGTAAAATTGAATATAGACATTATAACCGCAACACTAAAATTACACCATACAGTTAATTTATAGTGAAAAATTAAAATGCATCATTTGGTAAGTTCGTAACCCCGTGATCAGGAGATAACGCACTTGTTTGTGCCTTACATAGTACACCGCCAACGTTTATCAAATCCACTTCCAGTATTCATGGACTTGTGGCCCAGGCTAGTTTGATGCTCGTAAAAAAATGCAGGATAGAACAACGTTGTACACATGTAAGTCTTTTTTTTTTTGTCTTTTTGTACGTTTGTTTCATTAAGCACGTTATCCACCAGTATATTTGTGTATACTAGCATATTTGATATAATTTGTGTATTGTATTGGTGACGTTATTATCACTGACGCTTTTTCTCGACAAACCCTTGTAAACAGCTGATACTAGTATTGGCCTTACTACTATCGTTTTCTTAAAAAAAAACAGTGTCTACATGTTTCATTTAAATCTTAACAATATATGTACAATGATATAAGTGTCGGACCCAGCGTTGCAGCACTGTGAATAGTTTGAAGCCACCGCCGGTGTGGAAGGAATGGTAGTCCTAGTAACGCCTGGGAATGCAAGTCCTAGATAAACGGAATGCAGGACCGTCAAAATAGAAATCCTATCCATTTTTACGTCAGGAATACAGGTCCCATTAGGACTACTATTCCTAAGGAAGCGGGCGGACGTGTCTGCCGTTTACACCGGTCGGGGACCGGTACACAGACTTTTATCTAAGTCCAAGGTTTACGCGAAGTTAAATATTTTCAAAGTTCTTAGCAACCAAATACTGTACATGAATGATAATGGCGGATTCGTCAGACAACAGACTAAATGACGTAAATAAAAACAATGCTCATTATTTACTCGTGTTAATATGAAGTTGTAATATTTATTTGAAGTATACAGCAGCCAGACGGACTGAATTGGCCCTGACATACAACTATATGAAAAACAGCTCTCTTCAAGGCCTTGTCAGCTGAATGAAAACGGGGAAAATCATTAAAATGAACTTTTTTTCTCAACTCTTATCCATCTTGAATACCATAAAGTACTGGGTACAATAATTTTCTAAAACTTCTTCACCTCTATCACAATATCGTTTGGCCTTTTATTCCCCATGCAGCATTAATTTGCAAGGGTTGAAAATATTGATGACAAGGCACTTTTTTCCCATCTTTCACACCCCCAACTTGACACAGGATGAAATTTTGGACAGAGGGGGTACACATACATCATGTAACAGCCAACAAATATCCAATTACATATGTCAGCTATTTTGAGACACACGAGGACCCAATGGCATTCTACGGGATTGTGTGTTTATATCTAAACAAGATAGGCGAGGCAAAGTGTGGTGTCGGGATTGAAAGTGTTTAAAAAGTCTGGTCCTGTTAAAATTCTTGTGATATCACGAAAAGTGTAGTTTCTCTAAGAGCAGGTGGCAAAAGGTATGTTAACAAATAATAGTGCTGCAGGAAAAGTTTGAAAATATGAAATTATACCTGAAGTCGGAAGCAATCGAAGTTGTATGCAACTGTATCGAAGACGTTTTGTTTTTGTTTTTTTAAGCTCAAATTTTGATGAAGCAAAGAATCTGTCACCCAGTATCCAGATCAAAGTAACGTTGATGAAGGGCAATTGCCAATGTCCAAGGGCTTATTCCCATTGAAACTATCGTTCTACATAGATTGATCCAACTCCGCGGGGACTCTTTCTGAATGAAATCAAATTGACCAAAAGACACGTCTCATCTTCAGCAACTAGCGGGTCATTAGTGCATGAGTGCACAGCTCTGAATGACATCTAATTACATGGAGCTGCACTTGCAGTTTTTCCTTAATTGTCATAATTTGTGAGTGCTAATCTCTTTTAACATTGTTTTTTTTTTTTTTTACTTTTTTACTTTATTATACGTTTTTCATTTTGTTCTATTCACCCTTTTTTTATGTATTTATGTTTAAAAATGGAGTTCTTTTTTATTAAAAAAAAACGAAAAAAGAAAACAGGAAACAGATACATCAACATTTTAGCAAAGCGTACATATGCAACGATGGAGAGTAGTTTTTCATGTATATATATGTTTACCGCATACTTCTTCTTTATCAATAAACAGGAAAATCAACATTTCCGCAAAACGTGCAGGTGCACTAGTGGAAAGCTGACTTATAGCCCGGAAGAACTTCCCCACCAATAGAATGAGCGTGGAAAATTTAAGTTAGCACAGATTTATCTATTAGCATTATGCAAAGCACCGATCTGTGGGTCCGACGATTATTACCCATTAACGGCAACCAAGGTTACGACTGGATTGTCGAATATAATGAACAGTGAACACTAATATTTTTATTTGGAGTATAAAACCCATAAAAAATATGTTTTGTACACTTTTCATTTAAAATATTAAGATCATTTTAATTACATTAGTTATATTTCAATAAGGCATAGTATATGTCTAATTTTAAGGTTCAGTATTAAATGTAAAATTGGTCGCTTTTTTTTCAATTTTCTTTAAAATATCATATATTTTTAAAGATTATCCATTCAATTATTTCTTCTGATATTAAAATAATTGAATACTGTAGTCGATTACAGTGTGTTTAGATTACGTTTTAATTAATGACTGAACGCTCCTATAATCTTTTCCATTTGGTAGAATGAAATTCAATACGCATTCTTTAAATACGTCGGATATAATCAGAAATGCCCATTGTCTTTTTGGAAATCTATTTCTAGAAGGAAATGAAATAAAAAAACAAGTTGATGATTTGAGGGGCATAAAGATGGTAATTGTAAACAGGGAAGACAGCAGTGAAGTGTTTTTACGGCAAATTGGACGAAGGCCGTCTGACTGGGATGTGTCTTAGAATTTGTAAGTATTTATGTTTATTTTGATATTATTAGTTTAAACACAAAACAATGTAAACGGCAATAGTTTGGTTTTGCAAAGCAATTTATTGGTGCATTTCAAAGAACAAGTAAAATTTATGACAATCTTTGATGTATTGATGTTCACATTACTAGAACATTATTGGCATTTCATATACGTTTTCTAGAACTTTTTCGTAAGAAAAGGAGTCGACATTCTTGCCTTTGTAACATTATATACCATATAAATTTGGCAGTTCAGCCCAAAAAATACAAGAGTGGCAATGAAAACGTGCCTTTGTCATCGCCATTACGGAATATAGCATTTAGTCTCAAAGTGTAGCTAAAGGAAGAATTTGATTTCGGTTATTCCGGACATGATATAAACTTGGGCGCTTGCTCTTCTTTTTTCGTTGCTTTGATTTGTCTGAAAGGTAATAAAATATGGTGTATTTTTGAGAAAGGCGGTACGTTCAGTGTTCATGGTTCAATGGCGTTTCAACAGTGCTAAAATAAGTAAAAATAAATGAAAAGAAATTTCTTACAATCACAAATACGTAACAATAAAGAGATCTTTAAAAGCACAATTGCATAATATCCCTATTAAAGAACACGACGTAAGATAAACATAATGAATAAAAATCACCAAATACACATTATAAAATTGAAGCACATACTAATTAGAAATATAAATGAATGTAAAATATGGGAATACTTGACACAAGGAAAAAGAAACTTCATTATCATTATATGTATTTATGTCCTTTCTATTACAGTTAATACAACACGCAGTAATCTTAAGTATTATTAATTTAAGAAATGAATTCGGTGAATTCGGCTGTGGAAATCAACTTTATATAACACACACTCGTGCACATGCGCGTGCACACATACATGCACATTTTGTGTTTAATATCCTAAGCAATGCGTACACAATGTGTTCACATGAATGAACAGACTCAAGACGCACGGAGAAAATAGTTTCTTCTTGTTCTCACCTAGCCTAGGCCAGGAAGGGAAGCCCTGCAGCAATAGCAAACCTGCTGGTTATTGGTGCCCAGAAAAGCGGCAAGTGCGCTATTCGAAGGCGTGCACTGGTTAGTGCTGCAAGTTGCTCCAAAAAAGAGACGGCAAACCACTGAAAAGATGAGGCTTAAGATGTTATTTATGTAATACATAGAAGTTGCACGTAAGCCGATGCATTTCAATTGTCTGTGGTATCATAAACTTCAGTGTTACCAAGATTTATGTACCCCTTTGAAAGCAATCCCACCAGAGGCAATTGCTAAAGAACATAATACATGTGCTATTTTATAATCATAATCTAACATATGGCAATTTTGTTTTTACTTTTAATTCAATATATTTATATAGCCAAATGTTCATAAGCACAACGAAGCTCTGTTTTCGCTCAAAAGTAAGTAAGATAAGTCCATATGACTGAAAATTGTCATTTATTAATGACGAAAACTAATAAGATACATAGTTACAAAACTGAGGAGATAATATAACATCCCCCCAAACTATATAAGTGCCATAATATAAAAATAATAAAGTATGTTAATGAGTGTAACC